AACTCATAAAACACAAAATCAGAAACCATAATATACAAGCAAAAGGTCAGAAAGACAAAAAAAAGTACAAACAAAGCAATATGAGAAAATAGACTACAAAAATACCATTGAATTCATTTTTTTGTTGGCTATCTGCTGCTGGGTGTGGAGCCTGCCTGCCCTTAAGTGTGGTTTGTATACTCAGTCCTTTTTGAGCAGGTATCAGTTGGAGATACCCTCTGGACTTGGGATGGGGGCTTGTGTCTATTTTTCCTCTAATCACTAGAACCGCATCTGCAGGACCTGTGCATGCTGCCCCAGTTTCTGTCAGTTCAGCTGTGTATCAGTCCTGCTGTATTTAGAAGGCCTGGTCTCCCTGATGTCCTCCATCTCTTCTGCCTCTTTCAATCTTTTCACCTCCTCTTCTGTGGAGTTCTGAAGAGGGATTTGATGAAGATATTCCACTTAAGACTGAGTATTCCAAGCTAGGTGTGGTGGCACACATGCCTTTAATCCCAGCACTCGGGAGGCACAGGCAGGCAGATCTCTGAGAGTTCGAGGCCAGCCTGGTCTACACAGCGAGTTCCAGGACAGCCAGGGCTACACAGAGAAACCCAGTCTTGGAAAAAAAATGGGCTGGGTGTTCAAAACTCTCCCACTCTCTACACTTTGTCCAGACGTGGGGCGCTGTACTACAAGAGGAAGCTTGTCTGATGATGGCTGAGTGAGACACCGATCTATGAAGATAGCAGAATGTCATTAGGAGTCATTTTGTTGTTGTCTTCAGCAGAACAAACTCTTACTTTTCTAAGTGTTCCTCCCTCTAAATGCTTGTAGTTGAATAAGTACTAACTTTGCTTATCATATAGCTTAAAGACCGTGTCATAACAATCATAGAACACTGGATGATCTTATTCGCAATGCTGCCTCATCCTGAAACTCTTTCCTGCTGTGTAATCAGGGGTCTGGCTTTACCTGAGGGGGAAAGGAACTCAGGCTTGGCTGGGGGGGGGCAGTGCTGGACTGTCTGTCCCCACTGGCACTTTTTAAAAATTTATATCTTGATCTTTCTTGTTTCACGCTAAAAATTTGTCCCCTAAGTACTTCGGCTGCATTACATAAATGTTGGTATGCTATATTTTAAAAATTCATTTCTGTGTGTTTTCCAATTTCCCTTTGATTTTTTTCTTTGATTTTCATTTCCACAAAATGGAGAGCATAAGTTTACACAGATTTATGGATTTCACAAGTTTCTTTCTCTTACTTACTTTGTATTCTTTCAATTTTAATCATTTTTGGTCTGGGGATGAAACCCCAGGAACCCAGAATGCTAGACAAAGTGGGTAGAACCATGGTCAGCCCTCAGTCCTCTAAAATCTACTGTGCTCTGCCATCCAGACTACTATATGGTATATCTTGGAAAATGTTCTTGTGAACTTCAGGAAAAGATCTATTCGGTGCTAAGTGTGGTGTTTCGTGATCATCCTAGGATTTAGGAGGGTGAGCTTAGGAGTGTCAGCATGCAATCCCAGTCTGGCTCCATGGTGTAAACTGAAGTTCCTAGAGAAAACAAAAACTATTATCTGTATAGAAGGTTCTACAAGGCCAAATGACTGGCCCTTGTGATTGCGGAGAGTTAAAATGTTACAGATGAGGGACAAATCACCTTGAGCTACTTTTAGTGCCTTTGAAAACCATTCCTTGTCTCCCCTTGTTTCTGAACTAAAAGCCTTGTGACTATCAAAACCTTTAAAATACATTCTTAGCAGTGAGCACCCACAAATCCAAAAGCTAAGAATGTCATCAGGCTGATCAGTGGTGGCACACAACTTTAATCCCACCACTTGGGAGGCAGACGCAGGCTGATCTCTGTGAGTTCCAGGACAGCCAAGGCTGTTATACAGAGAAACCTTGTGTGGAATAAACAAACAAACAAAAAAAACTAAAACCAAAACAAAACAGAATATCATCAGATAGTATCTGAAACCTATGCAGAATTTCCCTCACCCCATTACCTGTGGTCCCTATCGAAGGATTTAGTAAGTGCTTTGACTTATGACTTTCTTTGTTCTCTTTCACTAAAATGTCATTTAAGCACTTCCACAAAAGAAATTATCTTTCTGGAAAATCTGAATCCTGGCCATGGTCACTCATATGTGACACAAGAATGAACTGTCTTTTGTTGCCTTTGAGGTAAGAGTAGTGTTTTTGTGTTGACAATAGCAAGTCTCTGGAAGAAGAAGGGGGAGCAAAAAGAGAAGGAGGAGAAAAACTCAGGGAGTACAACCATCTACCACAAGCCTGAGACTCGACCTGATTTCTATTGTGGAACTCACTTGGTGAAAGGAGAGAAACACACACACACACACACACACACACACACACACACACACACACACACACAAACACCACAAATAGATAAATGAAAAACTATGCTTGTGAGCTGGAAAGGTTGCTCAGTGGTTAGGAACAGAGGTCCTGAGTTCAAATCCCAGCAACCACATGATGGCTCACAACCATCTGAAATGACATCTGCCACCATTTTCTGGCCTGCAGGGATACATGCAGATAGAACACTATACATAATATGTAAATAAAATCATTTTTCAAAAAGAAAAATATGTTTGTGTGTGGGTTGTGCTGTTAAAATGTGCATTCTAGTTCTCTGACTGGAAGCAGCTCTGTCACCTCAGCCCCTCACCTCTGAAAACATACCTGCTCCAAGTTCATCCCTACCAGTTCCTTGGTGAGGAGCACCTCTTAGCTACTGCACCCTCTGCTACCTTCAGTGGCACTGAACTGACCAGAGACCGTGACAAATGAGAACCTTGGCAGCTTGGCAGTCCCGCATCCCTTGACCTCATTTGTCTGTAGCTGAGGCTTCCAAACCAAAGCTATTTCAAAGGACATCCATACAGCCAAGTCCAAAAGGGGCTGGGACATTCGTACAGCCAACTGCCAATGTCCCAGCCCCCAATGGACTTGGCTCTGGGGGCTGGAATTGGGTCTGTATTTGAGAGCTCTGTCGTTGGTTATGCTGGGAACCCTCTCCTGAAACAGCAGCTGTTGTGTTACCATCTGGGGTTTTGATTGGGTTTGTTTTCTCTGCCACTTAAAGAAGTAAAAAGTAGGAAGAATCTCAAGCTTGACAGTCAACAGCTGGGAAATTCTCAAATGTAGCAGGCCAAACCAGCCTGATGAAGAAAAGCCTTTATTAGGGGTGACAAAGCACATATATACAGCAAGCACACAGAGCAAAACAGATGGGGAAGGAAATCAAAGTCCAGTTTCTCCTTGCCTGCTTGTTGTTGTTTTTTACGTCTTTGAGGGGTTTTCCTCCCCTAATTTAGGGTTGGTCAGTTTGAAGAAAGACAGGATGGCTGATTGGCCCACAACTGTTGTGTAACAAGTCTTGATCTAGCCTTGACTTTGTTGAGCCAGGCCATCAGCAGGGGCCTTAGTGGCAGGAGGAAAAGCCCATAAGGCCTTTAAGTTGTCAGGCTTTTATCTCAGGTTAGGGAGGTAAGAAGGAAGCCATTCATGTCGCAAGCTGAAGAAGCAAGCTTCTGTCTTGTTTACCATCTTTATTACCTTGTCATGGCATCTTTCCCTGTCTGTCTGCCTGTCAGGAAATCTAACTCCTAGTCTCTCAGTTCTATGATTCTGGGCTTTGCCCTCTCAGAAGCTATGGCACTCTTTTGCCCTCTGATGCCCGTTCTCATTCTCTTTGCCTTGCAAAGCAAAAGTAGCCATATCCTCTTCTACTTCTAGTTCAACCTTGCATGTCTCCTCTGTCCTGTGTGTGCCTCAATCTTAGGCTTTTTTTTTTCTTTTGGCTTTTCGTGATAGGATCTCTCTGTATAGCTCTGGCTATCCTGGAACTTGCTCTATAGACTAGGCTGGCTTTAAACTCATGAAGATCCGTGCTTCTGCCTCCTGAGTGCTGAGATTAAAGGCGTGTGCCATCAACATCGGGCTCTATTTATGTTTAAAAGCCATCTAATAGTAAAGGCAACCTAGGCTCATTCCTGTTTATGATTAAATCTGTTTCTCAAAGATTGGGCTATGCCTCACCTGCAACCTTAACTACAAATGGCTCTGTACTGCCTGTTCCAGGAAGCGGCAACCATGCCTTTGTTTCAAAAAGTTGTTTATAACCATCTTGCAATCCTATCCTTGTTTCAAAGGTTGTTATGATTACCTGTTGCTATGACTACTTTATGACCACCCTGCAATCATGTATGTTTCAGGAGGTGGTTATGACTAGCTTCTTATGCTTATGTTCTGCTCCTGTAACCCCACCTATTTTCCCCCTTTTGGAAATCCCCTATCCCTAAACTATAAAAACTTTTGTCTTCCTCACATCTAATGCTGACCTCTTAAAGCCCACCTTAGGGGGAGGCAGCCTGTGTTCACGAATAGAAAAGCTTGTTTTAATTAATTGCTCGCTTTAATTAATTTGGCCATGATGATTTGGGCCAGTGGTCTTTCTCCTTCCTCCTTTACCTGTACTTTCCAGGAAGTCTGGGGAACGTAATTGTTTCAGTGTTTGAGAACGAAGACAAAACTGTATAATAAGACAAACGTGTATTTTGCTGCAGTTGGCAGTACTGTTCTATACAGGTGTTATGATGCTGTTTGAAATCTTAAAAATTACATTTATTTATTGTGTGTGAGCACATGTGCCTGTTCGTGCCACCAAGGACATAGAGGGGAAAGGGGAAACTGCAGGAATTTGTGGGGCTTAGGGATCGAACTCAGGTCGTCAGGCAAAGGGGCAGCCTCTTAGGGGCCCTCAACTGTAGGTTCTTTCTCTCCTCCCCTCTCCTGTCCTCTCTCCTCTCTCTCCCCATTTCTCCCTCCCTCTTTCTTTCAGCTATGCTCCCTAAGTCCTCTTCTCCAGGTTCAACTTTAATTATTAGGATTTACTGTGGTAAGTGACATCATCTACCACTGACACAATTTTCGACTCTTCTGGTCTTGCCGCCAGGTCAGCAGAAAACGAATCTGCGTTTTGAGAATCGGCTTTTGGCTCGTTTTGCCTGAGGAAGTCGTCTGCGCGGTTGGGCTGCCTGGGAGCCACGTGATCTAAAGGGATGATGGCGGGCGCAGCAGAAGACGTGCGAACGCTCTTCGGAGCTGCTATCCGCGCGGCTCTGGAGGCTTGGCCTGCATTACAGGTGAGTGAGGCCACGGCGGGGGTCACAATTAGAGCTGGGGCAAAATAGGAGCTGGCAGGGCGAGGTGCCAGAGCCTCGGCTGGGCGGTGTAGGCGGCACACTCCCAGGCCATGGCAGGCCACGCCACTCTGATTTCCATGCTGTCATGGTTGGCTTGGGCCTGTGTTCACAGATCGCTGTGGAGAATGGCTTCGGGGGCGTACACACCCAGGAGAAGGCCGAATGGCTGGGGGGTGCAGTGGAGGATTACTTCATCGCCAATGGTGAGTGAGTGTGAGACATTGCTGTCTGTCTGTCTGGTTTTGGAGCGGCAGAGCCTCGTTCTGGGGAGCCCGCGCTTTCTCATGCCGAATGAATGGTGACGTTGGAATCAGACTCTTGCGTTTCGAGTGCGTTGCAAGCAATGACACTGCATAGTGCTATGATCCTGGACAACACATTTTTACCTTCCAGAGAGCCATTTTCTTAGTTCCTAAAATGGTTATGAAAAGATCTGGTTAATAGAACTCTTCGAGCCATATCATGTAGCTTGAAAAAAAAATGCTGTCTCGAAAAATACAAAAAAAAAACAAAAAAAATTGCTGGATCAGGGGAGGGAAAGATGGCGCCGTGGGCAAAGGCTGGCAAGCATAACAATTCGAATTTGATAGATGGGACCACGTGGAAGGAGATATGAGTCACTTAAGATGTCCTCTGACTACCCCTACACAAGTAAACGTAATTTAAAAATTGTTGTGTGGGAGTGTAGCCCAGTGGTAGAGCACTTTCCTAGCATGCTCATGTTTCTGGCTGCCATTCCTAGCACAACCAAAACCAACAGCAGTACCTCTAATAAAATAAAAGGCCAGACCCTGTGTTGCAGGCCTGTAAGTCTGAACAACTTCACCACGACCTTGTCTTACAATAAAAAATAGAGTTGGGGATATAAGCTTGTGGATGTGCTTACCAACTACTGTGAGACTCTAGGTTCAGTCCCCCCCTGCCACGAATGAATGAATAAGTAAATGAATGAAAGAAGCAAATATAATAGTATTAAATTCATAGCCAATCTAGCATATGGGCCATGTGATTCTAGCACTAGGGAGACTGAAGTAGGAGAACTGCTTTGAGTTTGAAGCCAGCCTTGGTTATATACCCAGAACTTGCCTTTAAAATAAAAAAGGGGCTAGAGAGATGCTTAGTTTCCTGTTTTTCCAGAGGACAGAAGTTAGGTTCCCAGCACACATGTCTGGCAGCTCACAAACTCCTGTAACTCCAGCTCCAGAGGATCCAAAGTCTTCTTCATCTGCACACATGTGCACCTATACATAATTAACAAATAAGTAAAATGCAGATGGAAAGATGGCTCAGCAGTTGTTCTTTCAAAGGACATGAGTTCAGTTCCCGGCATCCACATGTTGACTCATACCTGTCTATAACCCCAGTTCCAGGGGAATCTGACACTATCTTCTGTCCTCTGTGGGCACCAGGCATGCACATAGTGCACAGGCAAAATCCTCCTCCAAAATATTTCAATATGTCATAAGAATTAAGCATTTTACACATTTTTAGGATTAAATTTGACAGTCTGGAATTTTAAAGGTCTTAATGGGGGCACTTCTTAATCGAGACTAGCCACATTTCAAGTGCCTGTGCTCAGTGACCACACATGGCTACTTCTACAGCAAAGATCTACACCTTCCTTTTATCTTTGTGGGAAATTACAGAACAAAAGGACCTAGTGGGAATAGTACATGCTGTGGTTTTTATAAAATTCTCCATTGATATCCTAGTTTTACTGGATGATAAGTGTTATGATAAAGAGGTGCTCAGAATTCTTGAGTTATCTGAGCCTGAGGAGAAGCCTTTTGTTTTTTGTTGTATTTTGGTTTTTGAGACAGAGTTTCTCTGTGTGTCGCTGGCCTAGAACTCTGTAGACCAGGCTGGCAGCCTTTTTGGGGGAGGGGGGGCGGGGTCAGAGTAGTGATTGGGGTGGGTCTTAAGGAATGAAAAGGAGTAAACTAGCTAGAGACATAATGCACACTCAGAGGAGTTGAGGAGATAAGTGTTGTATTTTGAAAGGGCCAGCTGCATTGTAGTAAGGGAATG